ATGTGGCTCCCTCTAAAAAAAATTAATAAAAAATATCAATGTATGCTCATTTGATCGCATTTTTAAAAACGTACCAATAGATGGCCCACCCTGTATAAAGGTATAAGCACTTAAAAATTCTTATAAGTCTTACAGGAATATGTTACGAGCCTTACGATTCTGCTTAGAATTTAGGCATGAATTTCATAAAATTTTATGAAAAATACATTAAATTTCATAAATTTTTATGAAAATTTATGAAAAGTACATTAAATTTCATGTAGATGTACACAATATATGTAATTATACTTTTCAGATATAAATACATTAAATTTAATATAATGTCATGAAATTAAATTGAAATTGTGTAATTTAAAAGTATATTAAATTTCATGAAATTTATAACAGTGTAGTATTCATAAGTAATGTCTTAAGACGCTGATACGGCTATGGTATGATTATAGTTTACGATAGCTTAAGTGTACTTAAGACACACAGTCTCAGATGTAAAAATCAGTTATGAATGTTGGACATTAATCTTCTTCCGTATTGTGTACTTAAAAAGTGAAAAATCAGCAAAATAAATATTGCTATCTTTTTTTACGTAATAAATAACAAACAAAAGAATTGTCTAATTCGTAGATTTATTTGAAAGTAAAGACAAATGTAAATAGTAATATGCTTGGCAAGCTTGGTTAAACTTTCTGTTTTTCGATCTAAATACAGGGTGGGCCATCTATTGGTACGTTTTTACAGAGTGGGCCATCTATTGGTACGTTTTTAAAAATGCGATCAAATGAGCATACATTGATATTTTATTTATTAATTTTTTTTTTGTTGTGAAGCTAAAAGTATCCGCGTCAAGAATGAAAAACGATTTCGTTCATGTGGCTCCCTCTAAAAAAAATTAATAAAAAATATCAATGTATGCTCATTTGATCGCATTTTTAAAAACGTACCAATAGATGGCCCACCCTGTACATATTGCATAATTGCGTATGAGTATGACTAAGTTAAATAATATATCACTAAACTCTAAAAATAGTTTACTAATTAAATGAATACGTAATCCTTAAACACCAAAAAACTAATTTATTTTAAAACTGTGATTAAAAATAGAATTAAATATTTTAAGAGTTAATTCTCCCTGTTATAAAAAATACATATTAAAGACTTGTTCAAAATTATTAATTTTTAAAATATTCACTAATTATATAATTACATAAAAGCTCAATAACAATTGTTTCGATATTTTTCAATTTATTTTGACATATTTTTAAAACAATTATCTACAAAGAGTGTTTATAAAAATTGTATAAAAATAAAAATTGTTTCAATATAAAAAATAAAGATTTACATATTTTAAATAAAATATTATTTAAAAATTATGTTTATAACATGTATTAATAATTGCTTTAAAAATATTATTAAAAATATTTTAATTTTTGTTGCTATTTGGATTGATGATCTTTTTAACATGTGAAACAAAACTGTATGGTCATTTCGGTAAGTCTTTTATTAAGACGTTTTGCTTGCTTAATTCATTTACTGTAGAACAAATTATTAACCAATTTATAAATTTATTTATTAGAATATGCAGAAATTTTCAACAATCAGTCGGTCAACCGTTTGCGAGCAATTTCGGTTTCTCTATAAAATATTCATCTGGCCTCATCTAATTATTGTATAATTTTTATTCCATCTCTATTGTCTTCATCTTTTTAACAATACTATTGTGTGGATAAGTAATATCTGAAGATGGTTCAATTTAGGCCGAAACATATAATATTATTTTAAATTTAAATTTATAGAGTATAATATATTGTATATTTTTTATTATATTTGAATTTTGTAATTGACAATTTACTATAATTGTAGTCGCAAATCACAGTAGATGAGTGAAAAGATAAAACCAAGTTGTGATAAGTTAACGATCTCCGATGGATTGTACGTTGACAGGCAGAAATTGTTCCCAAACAGCTGATCGACTGAATGTTAAAATTTCAATAAAACTGAAAATAATATGAAGAAATTGAGAACAATCCAAAATAAAATAATTTTTCAATCGTGAAAATAAAACTCACCGGAGAAGACAAACGCCGACTAAACAAAGATAAGCAAAATTCACGCAGTACTGATGTTTAGTCGGCGTTTGTCTTTTGTAATGTTCACATGTGTTAAGTCTGACCATCTCGTTTGTTAAATTATGCGATTGTGACTCATTTTCCATAAAAGAATGTTTTTGACCATTATTGGACACGTACGTTTTAACATTTTATCATACATTGTGACTTCCCCGGTGAGTTTTATTTTGATTGACGATTGAAAAATTATTTTATTTTGGATTGTTCTCAATTTCTTCATATTATTTTCACAGTTTTATTGAAATTTTAACATTTAGTCGATCAGCTGTTTGAGAACAATTTCTATCTGTCAACGTACAATCCATCAGAGATCGTTAACTTAACTTATCATAGCTTGGTTTTATCTTTTCACTCGTCTACTGTGGTTTGCGATTACAATTATAGTAAATCTGAAGATGGCTCGATCAAGAAGCCGAAACATGTAATTATTGTTAGATCGTCGAGACATTAGCTGCTTTCCATTTACATCGATTCTTAGATAATTCTCACTTGTGACGTCATAACTCAGTTGAATGCGCGTTCCTTTTGCATTCTGACAAGTGAGATTCAACCGAGTTTTTACCCATAATCTGCACAAGATCGAGACCGTGTCCTTTAGTGAGTCTCGTAAATTCACTTCAAAGTGAGGTTATGAACCTATGTTGACAATGTTGACATGTGGTAACTTTTTACCAAAGTAGTCACACAGAGAGGGATTACTTCTTTTCCGGTATGTTATGATATCAGGACGTTATAAACAATCGATCTGTTAATCGTTTGCTATCAACGCCATGATCATGCCTGGAGAGTATTCTTCCTTCGATTATATACGTATTAGTTCAGTTTTAATGTTCGTAGTTTTTAAATATTTTTATTTGAAAATGGCCTAATCAAAAGGTCGAAACATGTAATAAGTTTTTTGTATCCTGACTCATACAATTGTTACGTCTCTCGAATAATATTGTTATAAGGTTTATTATTAAGAATATATTTTATGTCTTGACGCACGGAAAATTTAATAAAGTTTTATTGACTCTTATATATGTCTCTCATTCGTATCAGTACTTACACTACTTACCAAAGTAAGCAAGTAGTGACGTCTGAGTGTAAAATACTCAGTTCACTTCAGACTCAGTTTCACTTGTGTGTAAATGGAAAGCAACTATTGTATTGTTATACTATCAAGATATTTGGAGAAATATCAAGAAATTGTTCTAGTCTATATTTTATATTTAAGTTTTATCGATTATTGACTCTTACTTAGATATGCCCCTTACTTAGATTTTTATTTTTATTTGATAACAAGAGTCTTTATATATATTTATTTTTGAAATAAACATAAGTTTTTGCAGTAAAAAATAACGAGAATTAATTCAAGCACTTACCTAATAGGTAACTAGGAACTGCGGCAAGCTGCGCAAATATAAATATAAAACATAGCCATATATTGTAATTTCGCTCTGCATATCTCTTTGACTGATTTCTTACTCGATTTAACAAAACAAATGTTATCATAGCCAATCTAATCCAATGGCGCAACATCCCAAGTCGGGACCAAGCCTAACTTCTCATACGTATGCCTGTGGTGTGCACGCAGGTTGTATACAGAGAGCACGAACGTGGCGTAGTAGATAGCGCACGAGACTGCTATGCCAGAGATAGCCAGAGATCCCGGGTTCGCGATTCTAGGCAGATTCAAGAAGTTTTTCACGCGCTCGTAATTTCTCTTTGGTGGTCTGACAAACCATCTATCAGATTATCTATTATCAAGAAAA